AAGTACGAGCCGTTAAATTATCGGGTTATGCTCCGATTCGGTTATTACAACATTGGTTTATACGATCCGTTTTGACCAATGACCAATGCAATCCTAATCTTTTGTCTCAACCACATTTCTGTCTTATTTTTGGATAAAATCTCAGAATATACTAATTATTAAAAAAATTCCCAAAATACAGTAATTATAAAAATATTTCCCAAAATACAACAGTTTGATCATCACCTCCATGGGCCAAGATAGTGATGTTAATCACCGTCGTCCTCAAAAACTGTGAATATATCACCATTTTGGACAAAGGCGGTGAAAATGTCAACGCTGCAATCAAACACGGTGAACCAATCACCGCATTGGTCTACAACGAGGAATACATCACTGTGGTAGTGAAAAACGGTGAAGAGATCACCGCTGTTGTCCAAACTGGCGATTTTTTATCACGTTTTCCAACCCTGGTAGGTTGAAAATTAGGTCACAACGACCTAGCATTCACCGTTCTCGTCGACGCTGGTTATATATTAACCGCATTTGTTGACTGCGGTGATCAGCCCATATGGTTTGCTTATTAAAACCCATCCCTCACGTACCTGCAGCTGGCTTACAACAATTCAAACCAAAATTAGTGCAAAATTCCTTTTTTGAGCTAGCTTACAGCAACTGCGATTAAAGAAACTCACCGGGATTCGATATGTTATAATTATTTATTGTTTACATTATGATGTTTTAATAATTATATGTCTCTATTTAGTGAATTGCGGTTAGTGGTAAATATGTTATGTTAGAGATATTTAGATTAATTATGGCATGATTGATGTTAGTTAGTTATGAATTTAGATGAATTTGTTTAGTATACTCATGTTAGATTAGTTAGTTGCGATTGTTTATGGGTTTGGATGATATTATTTTCGTAGCCCTAAGTACTAATTATACTATACTAATCTTATTCGAGTTAAGCTAATAGTTACTTATTATAAATTGAAGACATGAGTAAATTTAAGAAGTTTCGGCTTATTATTTGGTGGGACGGTCGGGTAACAAACTCGGACATTGGGATCGATTATGAAGATGGCGAATCCACTATGATAAAAATTGAGTCGAGATTCACGTGGGAAGAACTCCGTAACATATGTGCAGAAAGGATTTGTATGGGCGGACAGATGAGAGTTGGTCAAATTACTTATCGGTATCCAAACATGAGTGCTGGCGGAGTTATGTACGAAGAAGTTGTCATAAATGATGATGACGCGGTGAACATGATGATACAGTTCCTATATGACAACGGGATGCGGCTTGCAGAGGCGTATGTCGAGATCGCGCCGGTCGGTGAAACTCATTCTCCCCAGTATTCTTATGATGATGGTTTTGCAGGAGGGTACGGCTGGGGTGGTAGTTCAAGCACTATGGAGGAGGTAGTTCTGCAGGAGGGTACGGCTGGGGTGGTAGTTCAAGCAACTACAGAGGAGGTAGTTCTGCAGGAGGTGTTGGGTGAGAAGAATACTCGCAACATGCTGAGACTGCCCCATTAATTTAGTTCGACGGTGATCAATGGCCTTCTTGGGGGTCAGAGTGGGCTGACATTAAGAACACCCTTTGATCTGGGCGTAATTGGCATGACCGAGAAGACGATGTTGGTTATGCTGGTCATGATGATCCTCCTGAGCCGAGCTATCCATTCGCCTCCAGCGACGAGGAAAGTGAGGAAGATTTGAGATCAGTTAGTGAGGAGGAAGATATGGACGATATCGACGACAACAAGGTGGCGTTCCGTGAGGCACCGACGCCTTACTACATAGAGGTTTCATCTCAAATTTTATATAGTCAGAACGATGCCCCTGAATTTTCCCTATGCCTGTGTATAATCCGACTGCCAATTTAGATGTCGGTAATGGCATTCACTTCGAAAGTCGATGTTCAAGATGCTTTTAGAGAGGAAGCCATGCGGCGCAATTTCGAATGGAAGGTAAAATATTCTGACACCAAACAACTACAGGTCATTTGTAAGAATGCTAGAGAGGGTTGTATGTGGCAACTGCAGGCTGCATATATGAAGAGATAGGGTGTCTGGGTCATTCGGACAGTAGAGAACAACCACAGCTGCTCCTCAGCCGTACTTTTTCAGGATCGCCGCCAACTTAAAGCAAAGAAAGTGGCAAGAACCATTAAACACTTGATCGAGGTCAAACCAGATATCAAGATTAAAGCTATCATGGCCTAGGTGAAGGATCAACATTCCTACACGATCAGGTATAAGAAGGCGTGACATGGGAAACAGAAGGCAATGGCTGAGGTCTATGGTGAATGAGACAACTCATATGCTTTACTCACTAGACTAATGGCCGCAATGGAGGAGTCCAACCTTGGGGCAGTTTTCATGTTGTGGTACAACAACGTACAAACTGAAGATCAAGTTTGAGTACAAAACGAGTAGATGTTTCATCGTTTGTTCTGGACATTCAAGCCATGTATTGATGGGTTTGCCTTCTGCATACTAGTGATCCAGGTATATTACGGTCTAAACACTGTTTTACTATTTGATTTTTTTACTAAGTAATATTTATACTAACAAAATTCTTTTTAACAGGTTGATGGAACTTTCCTTACGGGGAAGTACAAAGGAACTCTTCTCATTGCCACTAGCGTTGATGGAAATTTAAGTATTTTCCCCCTGGAATTTGCATTAGTTGAAGGGGAGAACAACTTAAGTTGGGCATGATTGTTTGACCAGCTACACGACCACGTCACACAAAGAATGGGCATTACAATTATATATGATCGACATGCCGTGATTAAGCACGCCGTGAATGTGTTGGGTATTAGCGGAAGTAGTGATGATATTGGATCAACACAAAGGAAACATGTGGTGTTTAATTACTCAATTTAGAAAACACACTCAACCAAACAAGGCCTTAACTTTTGACTCTTGCTTGTTACATACATACACACGGCAGTGGGCTCTTTCTTTTCTATTATTATGTCTCTTGCCCATACTCTCTCTGACCACTTCCCATTCCATCCTTACACATATATAATGAATGAGAAAAGAGTACAATAATGATATGATGACTCATGTAGTAAATGGATTTGGAAGCTCTTCTCTTCCAATTCTCTAACAGACGACAAGTACACATGCATGAATTAATACAAACAACCAGTCATGTTCTCATGCATTAGTAGTGCATTATTTAATTGTCTCCTCTCTTCAAGTGGTTGTCCATGGAAACTATAATTGAGTTAGTGTGCCTTCTCATCACGTCAATTATGAGGCTCCAAGTTGATAATGGATCATTTAATCATTCAGGCCTACTATGTGTGTTGTTTTAACTCATTTTACCTTTAATTTCAAATTACCATTTGACACCCCCTCTTAATTTGCAATTTGGAGTAGCTCCTTGAACCTCTCGAACTTCTCACGCGTAACCGCCTTTGTCATGATATCTGCTGGCTGGTCGTCGGTGTTGATAAATTCCATCACGATTAATCCTTCGTTGACGAGGTCTCGGATGAAATGATGACGCAACTCGATATGCTTCGATCTTGCGTGAAACACTGGATTTTTAGTCATGGCTATGGCTGACATGTTGTCACAATGAATAATGGTTGGACCATTTTCATTTTGCTGCAAATCAGAAATTAATCTTTTTAGCCATACCGCTTCGCATGTTGCATCTGTAGCTGCGATATATTCTGCTTCCGCTGAAGATAATGCCACAGTATTTTGCTTCTTTGAACTCCAGGAAATGGGTTTTGAACCCAGGCAGAATATGTACCCCGATGTGCTTCTTTGATCATCCAGTGATCCTGCCCAGTCACTATCGGTATATCCAGTCAGCTTGCTTTCTGCTTCTTTCCTGTACATCAGGCCCAATTTCTTTGTACCTTGAAGATACCGCAAAATTCTTTTGGCTGCTGCAAAATGAAGTTTGCTAGGTTCATTCATAAATCTTGATATAAGACTTACTGAATGACATATATCTGGCCTTGTATGTGTCAGGTAAATGACTGACCTGACAAGACTTCTGTACAACTTTCCATCGACTTTTTCAGCTCCATCATTGCGTTGAAATTTCTCGTTCAACGCCATCGGTGTTGAGATTGGTTTGCATGTTGCCATGTGAAATCTTTTCATCATATCTTCAGTGTACTTCTCCCGTGAAATAAATATTTCTCCATGTGACTGCTTCACTTGAATCCCAGGAAAATATTTCATGAGTCCCAAGTACGTCATCTCGAATTATTTCATCATGGTACTTTTAAATTCTTCAACCATTTGCTGACTTGTTCCTGTGTAAATCAAGCCATCAACATACAAACACACCATTAGAAAATCTTTTCCATCTCCCTTTTTTATATAGAGAGATGCTTTACTCGGACTTCTTTGAAATCCATTCTGCTGAAAATATCGATCAATTCTGCTGTTCCAGGCTCTCGGTGCTTGCTTCAGCCCGTATAAAGCCTTTCGGAGATGATAGACTTTGTCTTCTTCTCCTTTTTTCTCATAGCCTCGTGGTTGTTCCACATAGACTTCTTCTTCTAGTTCTCCATTCAGAAATGCTGATTTGACATCTAGCAGGTATACTGGTAACTCAGGTTGAGCAGCTAGAGCGAGAACTATTCTAATGGTCTCCATCCTCGCTACCGGTACATATGTCTTGTGAAAATCAATACCAGGCTGTTGTGAATAGCCCTTTGCCACCAGTCGAGCTTTGTACTTCTGGATAGAACCATCTTCATTGGATTTGATCTTATAGATCCATTTGAGACCTATAACCGGCTTGTCATCCGGTTGATCAACAAGCTCCCATGTCTTGTTTTTCTCGATCATGGAAATTTCTGCATCGATCGCCTCATTCCAAACTTGATCTTTGCCTGATTCTTTAAAGACTTGAGGCTCACAAGAAAAATATGCAACATGACTTGTTTCATAAATTTCTCGCAAAGACCTTGTTCTCAACGGAGGTGAATCCAAGTTTGTTACGACGTCTCTAAAGTTGTCTCCTTCTGGGCTAGGTGCAAAATTTCTTTCCGGACTTGCAACTGGATCTGGGTCGTTGCTGGGGGTCGTCTGGAGTTGCTGAGTCCTCCAGAATTTCATAAATTGGTGGAGATTGAGAAATTGGATTTTCCCAATTCCACTCCGCCATCTCATAAAAGATCGCATCTCGGGAAACCACCACTTCGTTCTTTACAGGGTTGTAAAGACGATAGCCTTTGGACTCATCACTATAGCTGGTGAAGATCAGCTTCTCTCCCTTCTGGTCAAACTTATCTCGGTTTGGTGTAGAGATATGTGCATAAGCTATGCACCCAAAGACTTTGAGGTGATCCACCTGTGGCCTCCGGTGGTGCCACGCATGTATCAGCGTCTTGTTCGGAACTGCTTTGGTTGGTGATCTGTTGAAGATGTAAATTTTCCTGTTGACTGCTTCGGCCCACAAGTTGTTGGGAAGCTTCTTTAGCTTTGAGCATACTTCTCGCCATCTCCACAATCGTGCGATTTTTCCGTTCTGCCACGCCATTTTGTTGTGGTGTGTAACGGACCGTCAACTGCCTTTTGAGTCCGTTGTTGCGGCAATACTCCATGAATGGAGTATAAATAAATTCTCCTCCACGATCTGTTCAGAGAGTTTTGATCTGATGGTCGCTTTCCTTCTCAGCTACTGCTTGAAAATGAAGGAACATGGGAAAAGCTTCTGACTTTTGCTCCAGAAAGAATACCCACATAATTCTGGTGAAGTCATCTACAAATAGTAGAAAATATCTTTTGCCACTGAGTGATTGTGTTCAGGTTACCAACTCCAGTGGCGCTTTTGCTCTCCAAGATGTCTTTGGAAATGGTAAACGATGCATTTTGCCATATATGCATCCTTCACAGATCTTGTCTTCTCTATTGATCTGGGGAAGTCTCGCCACCGTATTATTCTGCCACAGCAATTTGAGGCCTCTAAAGTTGAGATGACCTTATCTGAGATGCCATAGGAAGGATTGATCCAGATATTCACTCTTGAATGCTACTTCACCATTTTGTGACATAGCAAGAGAGAAAATTCTGTTGGAAGTCATCGGGACTTTGGCCACCATGAAATCGTATGCTTTGTTGATAATCTCGCATACGCCATTATCAAACAATAGCTTGTAATTTTTCAGCATCAGTTGTCCCACGCTAAGTAGATTGAGAGTTAGCTCCGAAACATACAAAATATCTCGAATGAGAGTTTTGTTGCCTTCTTCTGTGCAGACAACAACTGTGCCTTTTCCTTCCACTTTTAGCTTCTTTCTGTCTCCCAACTTGACTTGAGAGCGGTATTTGTCATCGATGTTGGTGAAGGACTCCAGATCTCCAGTCATGTGGTTACTACAGCCACTATCCACCATCCAGGGAAGCTGTGACTTTTGCTCACCATTCAAGCATGATAAGGCCACCATATTGCTTTCTTAACTTTTGGTGCCGCTTGACTCGCCTTCTTCTTGCTTGTTCTGGAACCAGCAATCTCTCTGGGGGTGGTTTTGAATTCTTCACTTGGTGCACTTGAATCTACAGTCTTTTGTTGCATGACCCGCCTTTTTGCAAATTATGCAACTCGAGCCTGTGTAGCCCGATTTTTGTTGTTGATAATTTTGCCTGTTGTTTCCTCTGTAATTGGATCTTCCTCTTCCTCTTCCTTGTGAGTTTCCCCCTCTCTGGCCTTGCTCCGATTTGGCATATTTACTTTCCGCCGTGTTGACTTTTAACGAGAAAGCTTGCTCCAATGGCGGTTTAGTGAAACGACTCATTCTTTGCTCGTGTGCTACAAGTGAGCCCATCAACTCGCTCATTGGTAGTTTTTCCAAATATTTGGTTTCCTCTATGACAGCAACAATGTGTTCAAACTTCGATGATAGGCTCCAGAGAATTCTCTCCACGACCTTCCTTTCTTCCATGACGTCACTAGTGGCTTTGATCTGGTTGACTGTCTCCGCAACACGCGAGTGGAAGTCTTTGATGGTGTCGGTTTCCTTCATCATCAAGTTGTCGAACTGGCGCCATAAACTTTGTCGCCTGATGGAGATCGCCTTTTCAGAACCTTTAAATTGTTCACGTAAGACATCCTGAGCTTCTTTGGCCTTTTTGATGTCATAGATTCTTGGGTAAATAGATTTGCTCATTGCTTGCTGAATGATTCTCAAGGCGCTAGTATTTTGCTTGGCATTCTCCTTGTACTCCTTTATCTGCTTGCCTGCTCGATTTTTCGAGTCTTCATCCTCGTCTTGTGGATCTTCATATCCTTCTTTGACGATATCCCACAGATCTTGAGAGATGAAAATTGGCTCCATTTGGGCACTCCACTACTCGTACAATTCCCCATCGAAAATGGGAATTTGATTAGAAGAGGTAGCAAACATGGTGTTTGAGGAAGTTGTTGCCATGGATTTTTGAGAAAATTTGTGTAGGCTAGAAATTTGGGGATTTTAGAGAGGATAGAAAGGTATTAAGCTCTGATACCAAATTTGTTGGGTATTAGCGGAAGTAGTGATGATATTGGATCAACACAAAGGAAACATGTGGTGTTTAATCACTCAATTTAGAAAACACACTCAACCAAACAAGGCCTTAATTTTTGACTCTTGCTTGTTACATACATACACACGGCAGAGAGCTCTTTCTTTTCTATTATTATGTCTCTTGCCCATACTCTCTCTGACCACTTCCCATTACATCCTTATAATGAGTGAGAAAAGAGTACAATAATGATATAATGACCCATGTAGTAAATGGATTTGGAAGCTCTTCTCTTCAAATTCTCTAACAGACGACAAGTACACATGCATGAATTAATACAAACAACCAATCATGTTCTCATGCATTAGTAGTGCATTATTTATTTGTCTCCTCTCTTCAAGTGGTTGTCCATGGAAACTATAACTGAGTTGGTGTGCCTTCTCATCACGTCAATTATGAGGCTCCAAGTTGATAATGGATCATTTAATCATTCAGGCCTACCATTGTGTTGTTTTAACTCATTTACCTTTAATTGCAAATTACCATTTGACAGAATGGTTTTCTTGGTGAATGGGGGTGGCCATGGTGCTGATGTATTCGACACTTTCTTGCAAATTTCCAGAACAAATTTGGGAAGAAGAAAGACATAAGAGATCAATTGTGGAGTGCATGTACTAATGTAATTCAGTGCTTATTCATGGTCTATTGTTTAGATGAAATTTATCATGTCTTAATTATTTATTCTTCGGTCTTAAAGCGGTTGCACATCAACCAAAAAAGTACGAGCAGAAGATAAAGACGATCCGTCAGATACACCGGGCGGGGGCACTATGGGCAGAAGGTCAAGATCTGCACATGTGGACATTCCACATGGATAACGGGGCTAGATTCGGTATTGCAACTACCAACCATGGCGAGAGAATAAATGGAGTATACAAGGGCATTAGGGAAATGTCTGTATCTGTCCTAGTGGAGATGACATACTGGAAGGTAAACGAGTGGTTTGTGAAGAGACTTCAGCAAGCTATAGGGAGGGAGGGTGCTGGTCATGCAATAGCACATCGTGTCTTTCAGGACATGTAGAAGAACGAAGAGAAATCAAGTAAGCACAGAGTTATTCTTTTCAACCGCAGTGAAGGTATTTTTGTTGTGCAAACAGGTATTTGGGGTGGCGGAGGACGTTGGCACAATCGTCAATTCGTTAGTCTACATGTAGAAACTCACACCGGGGAGTGTACATGCCAAAAGTATCAAAACACAAGAATCACGTGTTCACATGCAATGGTAGTATCTAAGTCAATAACCATAAGCCCTTACAGTCTGGTGAGTCCTTACTTCACCGAACAGGTGATCAAGAACTCTTACTCGTCCAGTTTCAACCCCCTGCCAGATGAAGTTTATTGTCTTTTTGACAATGGGAAGTTGATCATCACACAATTTCACTTAAAGCGCACCAAGGGTCGTCCTAGAAGCGAAAGGATTCACAATGAGATGGATCAATCACAACGTGCCAGGAGAGGTCCAAAGCGTTGCTCAAAGTGCAGACAACCGGGACATGACAAGAGGCGTTTGCCAGGTCCACCTCTTGAGCAAGATTCAGGCACAAATCCGAACCAAAATTGAGGTTGTTGTATTTAATTGTCATTTAGTTGTAATGATTTTTAAGTTGGACTTCTAGTTTTAATCTTGTTGAGTGATTGTAATGATGATGGATTTGTGGTTTGATTTGATACAACATGGATGGTAAACTAAAACACAAGACCAAACTTCTAGTTTTCAATGGAAACACATTACCAATACATCTAGAGAAAACTACACGACATGGAAAGTTAATGAAAACACACACGACATAACTTTACAAAGAGAGTTCATGGAAATAAGAGACAATAAGATGACATGGATAGTTCAATGAAAACACACAAGACATAAATAAACAAAGATAACAAGGATAGTTCACTGGTTTCCTTCATTTTCTCTCCCTCGTCCTCATCCTCCACGGTGTCCTCGGCCCCTTCTCCCGCCTTCTCCGCCTCCTCCTTCTTGGCGAGCCTGTTGGACGACTACTCGCGAATTCCTCTGAGCCCAACGTCCCACCGAAGTATAGCTAGGCGGTGGAGGTGGCTGAGATGATCCAGAAGAGTGTTAAGAGGCCGAAGTTGTGGGGGTGTTGAGGCGGTGTCTGATAAATCGGAGTCTGTTGCTAATGGTGGAATTAAGGGAACCCTTGAGGAAACATGTCATATTACTATTATGGAGCATAACTTGACGACCCTCCAGCGCCCTCCGTTATAGTTGACCACTCATGATCTGGCCATGGGTTAGGCAGTTGTGTTTGCTGAGTCGGACGAATCTTTTCAATGTTTGGTTGGGCCCTTTTCTTACTCCTCCGTGGGGCCTCAGCTGGGGGCACAATGGGCTCATCATCACAGAAGGAAGGTCGAGCTGGAGCAGGCAGTGAAGGGTATACGATGACATCCCTCCTTTGCTCTCGAGTACAGTTGAGCAGGTTGTTGAAAAGCCTCCGCAGGAAAGATGTCTTCCGCTCGTCCATGGTGGGTGCACTATCGACAGTGTGCTTGGCATGTTCCAAGCCATCAACCTAATACGAATAAGTTGTAAAATGCAATGAAATGAATCTAATCAAGTTAATTGCCATCAATCAAATCTAAGCATGTAATCTAGGGACAAAAGAATAAGAATATGACGAAGAGTAAGAACGGATATCACTTACCACCGCTCCCCACACAACACCTTGCTTTGACACCCATCTAAGCGTGAATTTACGATACCACACCATGTACCTATCGTGGTACCCCATTGGCCTTGTCTTTGGTAACCCTCAGACAAACCAAGTCGCTCTATTCTCCCAAATGTTGATGTAAAACTCATGCTTGCGGATCCAATCCTTTGATTTGTAGCATAGGTCGATGGCATGGAGATCCTTGAAACCTTTAGGCGAGGATGCTGGAATTGGTTGCTCCATCCGATATTGCCTCAAGGCTCGATCTGGCAGGTTCCACTCCACCATGTGCCAACAGATCAAGGGCACCTTGCACAACCACGTCTCTTCATCCTCGGGGTGTCTAAGACGATGCATCTCGACCACTTCAGGTGGATATGGATTTCATGTCACCTACACTCATTAATGATTTGGAATTAGTACAAATAATATACACTCCATTTAAAAAATTAAAAATGATGAAATTTGACATTTTTACCTGGTTCCACCAAGGCTTATCAAACTCAGCACGATAAAATAGTAAAAAGTGCTCGGGCTGGTGGTCGTTTGTATTTGCTCCGATCCACCTTATTAAGGAAAAGTACGTATATAAGATATTTTTAAAGTATAGATGCTATGCATGTGAGAATTTTCTAAACACTTTCTTAATCAATTTAAGTACTAAATCTAAATTTACTAAAATTGGATACTTGGAAAGTGGCTAAATTCACTAAATTCGCTTACTTGGAATATATCTAAATTCACTAAAATATGATTCTATGGAAGCATCTAAATTCCCTAAAATTGCATACTTGGAATGAATCTAAATTCACTAAATTGCATACTTGGCAATAATCTAAATTCACTAAATTCGCTCCACTTGGAATGTATCTAAATTCACAAAAATACTAAAATTGCTTACTTGGAATAAAACTAGCATGTAAATTAAAATTACTTGGCACCATAGGGGGGTTTGTTAGAGCTCGTAGCTCCTCATTTGGCAACTAGAATTCCTGCGGGTTTGGAGGTGCGAACATTGGAAGATGCTCCCATGCCCAGAGTTGGAGTATGAACATCGCACCACTAGCTTGTTTCGCTCACAACCTTGAGCAAGTGCACAACTCTCGGTAGATCCCAGCCAATAAGGTCGACCCCAAACTCTTTCTCCCGATCTCGTCCCAGTCACCGAGGAGCAACGACAACCACATGCCTTGTATCCACCGGTTTGCCTTGTCGGGGAACAAAAATCCACCAACCAAGCCAATGAGGTAGACGCGTGCATATCACTCCACCTGATCTTCAGGGTGTCTGGGTCAAAATTAACCTCCAATTGGATGTGTTCAAAAAGCCACGGGATCGATACTTGCCCCGCATTGAGCGGTGGATGCCCAACCCCTTCGACGAGTGTTGTGGTCGGCATGTTGAACCCCAAACGATCGAGAATCAACGACCCCCAACCAACTTCGGGTTTACTCGAGTTGTCGATGATGGCCTCTCCAGTAACCGGCAGCCCGGTGAGGATGGCGACGTCTCTGAGGGTGATCGTCATTTTCCCCTTGGGAAAGTGGAAGGTATGCAGCTCGGGGCGCCATCGCTCTGCCATTGCCGTTAGCAGATCGTTGTCGATATAAAGGCTAATGAAGTGCCTCAGCATGTGCAATCCCGTCCGCTCTAGATAGGGCTCCAATCGAGGATGCCCAAAAGGCAATCGTGTTGTCCCTCGATAACTGATGGGAAAAAGTGATTCCTACAAAACAAAAACAAAAACACAACAAAAAACACAATGTTGTTAGTCAAAAGAAAGCAAAATAAAAACTTTTAAACTAATAAATAGTTTACAAATTTATACGGTACGGAGTGTCGACCAGATTATTGTCCCAAATTGCACGGGAGAGATGTTGTTTTTGCTCGTTTAAATATCTTCGATCCCTTGGGCTAGGATCGATATACAATCGAGGATCGTATATCTCAGCACTCATCTATAAAAAAATGTGAAATGAAATCTAGTTATTTCGAACCCATTTAAAAAATATCACAAAAGAAAAAATTACGTACTCTCAGAGCCTTTTCTTCCATTTTTTGGCGAAAGCTGGAGAGAGTATCGACGTAACTTTAGAGCGAAAGATTGTAAAAAAAAAAAACTCTAGATAATTTTTTATGATTTGGAAGATTGGACTTAGCCGCAACCATAGAACATACTAAGAATGAAACTAGAATGAAGGAATGGAGAGAGAAAGAAGTATAAAATAGTGGTGTGGTTTGGAATTTGGGGGGGGGGGGGGGGAGTGCTATTTATAGGGGAAGTGGCGATGGAAAATTAAAGAGCAATCACCGCTCTCATAAAATGCGGTGAATTGCCGCTTTTCTTGAAGACGGGGAAGCGTCCGCATCGCTGACGTGGTGAGCTGTGAAGCGTCGGATCTGGGAGAAAAACCAGAATCCGCTCTTCACATCGGACAATAACAGTGAATGACGCGAGGCGATGAATAGCCTGCCCTTGTCCACGTCAGCGATCCGCGTCCCCTCATTACTCTCCTTAGGGGTGGGCATTCGTTCGGTTCGGTTTCAATCGAACCGAAATTATGAATACCGGGTCCCCGAATTCTCCCAAACCTCAAACCGAATTCGAACCAAATTATAATTTGGTTCGGTCGGTTTAAACCGAATTATAATTCGGTTCAGTTTTTCACACAAAACCGAATTTGTGAAGTTACTTGTATCTTCTCACTTTTTAATTATTTTTTACCCCTAATATAAACAATAAATATGTAATTATATGCATCATCAATGATAAAATCAAACTTTTCAACACATAAGTCATAAAACATTTCAAATATTTAAGTCTTAAAACAACTACAAACATAAAAATCCACCATTTGGAGCTTGCAATTATAGTATTTCGGTTTTTCGGTCGGAAATTCGGTTCGGTTGAGAGAACCCTGGTTTCCGAACTATCCATATTTTCCTTCCGAATTCCAAACCGAATAGCATTAATTCGGTTTCAGTTTGGTTAATTCGGTTTTGGTTCGTGTTTACCGAACCGGTTGCCCACCCCTAGCTCTCCTCCTTAACGGTCTTGTTTTCCCCGTTTTTCTCTACTGCGGTGATGTATTCCCCGTTGTAGACCAATGCGATGATTGGTTTACCGCCTTTGTCTAAAACAGTGATATATTCACTATTTTTGACCACGACGGTGATTAACATCATTGTCTTGATCCATGACGATGATTATCAAACTGCTATATTTTAGGAAATATTTTTATAACTACTGTAGTTTGAGATTTTTTTAATAACTAGTTTATTCTGAAATTTTCCCCTTTTATTTTCATAGTCATTCTACTTTAACATCATTATTACTTTTCGGTCCAATATGTTACACGTTCTTCTTTCTTTCGCCGAAGGTCCCAATTCTTTCGATGCCATTGTTAGCAAGCATGGTTGTCATGTCGGTGGCATGCCCGGTTGAACCTGGTTCAACCTGTGCCGGTCATGAAACCGGCATGACACCACCGGTATGACCGGTATGTACTTACGCATTTTAAGTATTATGACATCATTTTAATGAACTTAATGAATAAAAAAAAAATTTATTATTCATTTTATGAATGTAATAGCTAAAAGTTGATGATATTTGTTGGATTGTAACTAAATTGTCCATAAATATGTTTTTATATATGATTAAATACATTAGATATGAATTGTTTTCACATTTTTTTAATCGGTATGAACCGGCACAAACTGGTTATACCACCGGTCGTACCATTCCACTTGCCAAACCGGCACAACGGTATAAACCGCAACCTTGTTAGCAAGGGAACGCTCAACTTCTCTACAATCTGTCAATCTACATCTGTTGCTGGCTTTTGATTCCTAAAGCCTCGAAACCAGTTTTCCGCTGTAATCTCTCCTTTCATCTTGCGGGCGGTCGTGTGCAATTTCCCTTACCGCTTCTTTCGTGCAAATAATGTTTTTCCCGTCTCCGGATATTAGGGTTGGGTCGCTGTTGCTTTTAATGACTGGTATTGCTTTTTGGTTCCGTTCTCCATCCTTGTAACCATGGCACCTGGCACGTTAGACTGGCGGTAGCAATGAGGAATGTTGATGAAGTGCAAGTGTTTGTGTATTTCCCTCAGAGAACGAGGTGCCCATAAAGCAGTTGGGCGGCGAGGTTGCAGAGCAGATTTATGACTTCGAGCAAACGAGTTCAAGATAGAAGCAGGATGAAAAGGGTACACGATCTGGAATTAGTGACAGAGTAGTGGAAAATTTTGTCCAAAGTGATGACTGATGACAGTCATGGAGGTGTTGAAGCAGGAGCCAGAGATGATCATCCCGGTCAGGAACCTTGAGCAGCATCGCCAGCGGCTTAATCTACTTAGGCCCAACAGAATCTCTGATTTTCTCTGCAATTCCCTTATGCCTTTTGAATTGTACAAGGATCAGAGAGGGGTCATGATGATGTCTGATGATGTCTGGGGATAAGCGGCTGCCATTAGACAAAATTGCTACCTTCAGAAGAGATTGATTTTGGTCTGCAGATTGATTTTAGGGCCGATTTGGTGCATAGGTATCCAGAATCTCTTAAGGTTAAAAAGCCTGCTGATGGAGGTGATTATTTGGAGCTTGTGTAGTGGAACCCAGCTTGGGCTATCACTCAGTTAGAGAAGAAGGTGTTGGGATTAACTGAAGCAAATAATCACAGGCCTGGGGTGTTCTCAGTGGCATTTCCTTCCGAATTTCCTCCCGGTTTCAAAAAGGTTGAGCCCTTCCAGAAAATGCCTTATCTGTCACCTTACGCAGATTCTAAGGAGCCTACCGCAGGGTCGAGAGAATTTGACAAGAGGGCAGTAGCTATAATGCATGAGCTACTTAGCTTTACTGTTGACAAAAGGCTGGTTACGGATTACCTTACTCACTTCCGTCGGGAATTTGTAATGCCACAAAAGTTGATGAGATTTCTGCTGAAGCATTTTGGAATTTTCTCCGTGTCTGAGAGGGTAAAAGGTTTAGTGTATTCTTGACAAAACATGTGATGGACAAGAGCTGAGTGAGAATTGCTCATTGGTTCGTTGGAAAGAAAGGCTCTTAAGTATTGTTGGCTACAGAGGAAAGAAGAGCGAGGTCTGTACTTTGAGCGACTCATTGGACATAGATAGAGGCTACTCATACGATGGAAAATGATTCTCCGAAAATGGAAACCTGGTCTTCCAATACGACGAAGAAGGGGTACTGGATGGTCTGAAACACACTTTGCTTGCACAAGATCATGTGATGGAACTGGGGTAGATTGTCAGTGTGTACATGGATGGTGACGCTTCTTCAGCGTAGTGACATTAAATTGTTGGGGGCTTTGGATTTCACTTGGTTAGATAGTGAGTATAGTTCACTAATGACTGACCTTCATTCTGTTTTAATCAATTTGATGCAGAACCTATAGATCATTTGCTTCTTCACTGTGAATTCTCATAGCAGTTGGGGTGCAGAGCTCCTTATCCATGGACTATTGCCAAGAATTGTCCTTGGTAATGATCCCCTATTGTCAAGATCATAAATCTTCTTTTGACAAAAAGAGGGCCACTAAGCTAGTAAACTATGGCTCTTCCTTGTGGTTTTTTCTCGGTATTCCTGGTCAGAATGAAACATCAGAAGCTTATTGATAAGCATTGTTCTGTCATGCATCGGATTGGTAAGGTCAGTTTCTCGGCTGTTTAAGGGGGGACACAAATGACAGGAGGGGTCTAGTCAGGAAGAATCTCGTAGATGGATCCATAATTTGCTTCTTGTGCAAAGGCGACTGAGATTGTAACATTATTGCTTTGTATGATTGTGTATTAGGGTCTGTGGTTGTTTGACGATGTGCTTTTCTTTCTCTTCTCCTTGTGTCTGCCTATTCTTTAATTTCTTTAGGTTAATAATATTAGCCATTCATAAAGAAGTCTTCGTTCTTTTTCTGTTCTTTTTTGGGTAAATAAATAAAGTTCTACAATATCTGTTATATCTCCGCCCTTTTGGACAGTTAATTCTATTCTATAGTTTTTCAATGCTCTGTATAAGTCTGCTTCGTGTTAAGTTTGTTTGACCTTTGTGCAAAAACATGCAGGCTAGTCTTTTATCCATCTGTTTGAGTTGGTATTCCTGGAGCATAGATTGCACCAATTCAAACTTTTGCGTAAATATGTTAGGAGGAATAGGGAACTTGATAGCTTTTGCTCCAAGTTTATTACCTCTAGGCAAACTGGGAGAAAATGATTATTAATCTTACTTGAGCTAATTATGGATAAGCTACTTGATACCTTCAAAGTAACTTTCGTTGAAGGTAAGGCCACCCAGGTGGCTGGTTAGCTGATTGTTTGTGTCTATTATTGGAATGTCCTTTTGCTACATCTATGCAATAAACCAACAGTTGAGATAAGATGGATTCAATTTATCATGCATCCATTGACTTTGATGTTTTCAGTTGCGAGGACATTGGTATTCTTTGATGCTTAAGCTCAATTTGCGAACTCAATCAGGTTTTTTGTTCCATATTCTTTCTATAAGCATGAGATTCATGCCAATTCTTGCTTGTGTATAACTTTTGCAGAAGGATAATTTAGTGGAATTTTTTAACTTCTCAATTTCAATACTCATCTTTATGTAATTCTCCTACTGCAAGTTTAGGCGCATAAACTATGTTCCTCCTGTCATTTCCTCTAATTATACAATTATTTAGTAATATTGCTCGTCATTATATGTGCATTTTACAATCAGGTATTAATACCAGTCCATTTGCCTGCATTTTTTGAAAATTGAGCAGAATATTGTATTTTTGGGCATGAAGCGACTTCCAGAGTCTCTTTAATCTCGGTATTACCCTCTAAAGTGATCCACAATAGTGGCAAAACCATGTCCCTGGACCATGGTTACCATCCTTGAATATTACACAATCTGCACGGCCTTAGCATGATCCAAGACTATGGAAAGTTTGCTCTGCGATCCTGCTTCGATTAATCATGCTGTGAAACTGGGTACAAAATTTGTAGGGCCAAGTTCTTACGGTTAAGTGTTTTGAAGACTATTTGGCAATTGGCAGAGGAACATCGGATGGGTTAGCCAAGTTGCATCAAGGTGCCCACAACGTTTGAAACTTTGAGTTGGCCATTTACTGTAGCCAAAAACACATTTAATGTGGATATACGTCAGCAGCTGCATAATTCATGAATACAGCCGAATGCTACATTATGATTTATGGCATTCCAGAAGATCGTCAACGGCACAGGTTAGCGTGTTTTCCTCTCTATTAATACTAAGAGAGTTGCATTGTTGACCAACTTGTCTACAATAATTCTGATGGCATATGAAATAGCCATGTACCTGTCTATCCTTTTTTAGTGCATAGCCATATATCTTCAATTCTGTCATCTATCTTGGTGTTGGTTAAGTGTGTACGCTGCTGTGGGGTGGTATGGAGGCGGCCATTTGGTCTAATATCATTCAATGGCCACAGTAAAGGTGATGCCTCTCTGGCAAGTCATTTCATTGACTATTCTCAAAGAAATGTAGATGTCAAGATGGTTAGCAGCGAGAGGAGTTAATAAGTTAAGTTATTTTTTTGGCATTAGTTTCTATTGTTTGACACGTGAATAGCTGCGGACCCGAAACTGATCTCAACCAAATCGACAATGGTGAAATCAGTTTGGATGTCAACATGGTTAGGGAGTTTGTTGTGCAAGCATATATTAGTTTCAGCCAATTGGCATGTGCATAGCTGGCATAGTTGAAGGCTACCGGAATCAAAATGTCTGATTTTTGCCTTCCACTTTGCGGACTATAGCATGTTCTTCATGTTCATCGACTCCCTATGTGATAAGGATTATGTTTTGCAGAATTTTATCAATAGCATCCCTGAGCTGGCTCGAGGCTAAAGTTGCCTTGTAGAGTAGATGAGTAAGTATATACCCAGGAAAGCATTTTACTCTGAACCAGGGTTCATGCAGTCTTGAGTAAGGCTTGCATCTGTAGCGAGTTGTAGTTTCGCTGGTCCAATAAGAACTTCCATCACCTTCTATGAATTAGAAAAGGGCGTCAATCTGATGTCACTTAAAGGAGGATAGAGTAGCGGTAATCTGTGATACAGTGTATTTTCATCCTTGGATTTGTTCGTGATTGATCCTTATAAAAAACTGTGAAATAGGCAAAACATATCTTTTTCCTATAAAGGGTGGTTTTCTTTACCGGGTAGGCCCCAGGGTCATGAAGCCGTTCAGCTAGCCGCTATCAACAATTAAGAGTTTCACAAGTAGGAGGAACCGTGAACAAGTGGGCTATATGGTTGCTATCCCTGTATTCTCTTTCTTATACACATTTCCAGTTTTGGTATCTTTATCAATTGTTTCGAATTATCTTCATACAGCTGATATTGATCAGGTCTGTGAGATAATAGTGGTTGTAGCTAAACCATAAAGCTGGGTGTATTCATTTTCCAGCTGGGGGTTGTGGAGGTACGCCAATCTACTAGCACTATCTATTACATGCGTATAACCCTCAACTACTTCCTGTATTCCCTGGTTGACAAAAGACCCTTAAGCCGGAGTGAACTCATCCATTACAGATTTACATTGTTGTCCTTTTTGCCATAGAAGTAAATGGGAACTTGAAAAAGAGAAAAAAAAAAAAGAAGATATATATATATAGAGAGAGAGAGAGAGAGAGAGTTGAAGGAAGAAGCGGGTTGACAGTTTGAATTCTGACCCAGTTCTCATTTAATGAAGAAATTAAAGCAGTTTGATGGATGGCCCTTCAAGTTTCAACTACAACGTAGCCAAAGTTGGTGTTCGCATTTACTTCTTGCCAACTACCTCTCTCTCGCCTTACTTGCATTCATTTTTCTTACATCTACATTTACAGATCAACATAACCCATTCCCTGCAAATTTCCTTATATATAATCATCTGCCCTAAGCACATTCTTTGAAGTTGTACAAGTAGTAGTAGTACATTGGAAATTCCAGAATCATGGCTAGAGAGAGGGATCTCCTGTCCACAGAGATTGTTAACCGTGGGATCGAGTCTTCAGGACCCAATGCAGGCTCCCTGACGTTTTCTGTTCGGGTAAGGAGGAGGTTGCCCGATTTTCTCCAGTCAGTAAACCTCAAGTATGTGAAGTTGGGTTACCACTACCTCATCAATCATGCCATCTACTTGGCGACCATTCCTGTTCTGGTGCTTGTGTTCAGTGCTGAGGTTGGAAGCCTCAGCAGGGAAGAGCTCTGGAGAAAGCTATGGGAAGATGCTCGCTATGACCTCGCAACTGTGCTTGCTTTCTTTGGCGTTTTTGTCTTCACACTCTCTGTTTACTTCATGTCTCGCCCCAGGTCCATCTATCTCATTGATTTTGCTTGCTATAAGCCTGATGATGATCTCAAGGTAAAGCAACTTAGTACTTTTAGATCCCCCTCTCTCTCTTCTCGTTTTCAATAATAAGTTTGATTCCTAGTTATTATCTCGTCTGACTGCTTGGCGTTTACCAGGTGACTAAGGATCAGTTCATAGATTTGGCTCGTAGGACAGGCAAGTTTGATGAGGCAAGTTTGGAATTCCAGCAGAGAATTCTGCATTCCTCAGGAATTGGGGATGAGACCTACATTCCCAAAGCTATTATGGCTCAGGAGAACTGTGCGACAATGAAAGAGGGTCGTGCAGAAGCTTCAATGGTGATGTTTGGTGCTCTTGATGAGCTGTTTGAGAAGACCAGGATCCGGCCCAAGGATGTAGGGGTCCTGGTGGTCAACTGCAGCATCTTCAACCCAACACCATCCCTCTCGGCCATGATTATCAATCATTACAAGATGAGAGGTAACATTCTGAGCTACAATCTGGGAGGCATGGGTTGCAGTGCTGGGATTATAGCCATGGATCTGGCTCGTGACATGCTCCAAGCCAACCCGAATAACTATGCTGTGGTGGTTAGTACTGAGATGGTTGGCTACAATTGGTACTCTGGCAAGGACCGGTCTATGCTCATCCCAAACTGCTTTTTTAGGATGGGTTGCTCTGCAATCCTCTTGTCAAACAGGAGGCGTGACTACCCACGTTCTAAGTACCGTCTTGAACACATTGTTCGAACCCACAAAGGTGCTGATGATCGCAGTTTCAGGTAAATTTTATTTATTTGCTGGTCTTATGCTCAATGTTATCTGCTATTTGCTTGCGGGGGGTTTGCTTGCATGGGATGCTATAAGGTTCTGTTACTTTCAACGATGGTGATGGGTGAGCCCTTGATAGTGAGAACTTGTTGTTTGACTAATCTTTACTAGCTAGCATCGGAAGGGGAAGTTGGAAATGCAACTAGAGTCGAGTCTGCCCCTGCATAGTATTTAATCGTAGACACCATGGACTTGGAGATGCTTTGGAGTTCGGACGTCCTGCTCCAGTAGGTTGTAAGGTTTTCCTGGCACTATAATGGAAACTTAGGAAATTCAGGGAAGTAAAATAAAAGAAGAATTAAGGACATGGGAATAGGCTAGCTTCCAAAAATCTTGATGATATAAACTAGCAATAATTTGCATTTTTATTCTCTCAGCATTCAATGAATAGTAGTCCCAAGACAGTAGCATCTTCTTGCAATAAGTGCGATTGTCTTACTAGTGTGACCGGCACATGGTTATCTTTCACACCCAACTCTACGTGTTTAAAACCCCTCATTACCCACCCAAAGGTAAGGGAATCGTGACATGAGAAGAAGAATGTCTAACATTTTTGTTTAAGTCTAACCATGTGACATTAAATATTATATCATAAATCAGTGCGTACTACCTTCAGCCATTCATCTTGATTGTGATTTGGGTTTGGCAATTTTTTCCAGTTTGTTGTCTCTGAATTGTAGTTATAAACCTGCTTGTTTAAGCTGAAGTTTGGAACTTGGATGTGGGTGAGGGTTTTAAAAAATTATAGAGCTAACTGAAGTTGTGCTCGGTACAGAATCTATGTTCTTGAATGTTGAGCATAGCTTCCTAATGAGATGGGTGGGGCTTCTTTTCTGTGTTTTCCCAAACTGCTGTCAGGTGTGTATACCAAGAAGAAGATGAGGAAAAGCACAAGGGACTAAAGGTGAGCAAAGATCTGGTTGAAATAGGAGGAGAAGCCTTGAAAGCCAACATCACCACTCTAGGGCCTCTGGTGCTACCTTTCTCAGAGCAACTCCTCTTCTTTGCAACCCTTGTGTGGGGCCACTTGTTCGGGAGCAAGAAGAAGCAGAAAGGCAGTGTCGGTGGAGGAGCCCATCCATTATTAGCAGCGTCTTCAAAGCCGTACATCCCAGACTACAAGCTGGCTTTTGAGCACTTTTGTGTTCACGCTGCCAGCAAGACAGTGCTGGATGAACTGCAGAGGAACCTGGAATTGAGCGACAAGAACGTCGAAGCATCGAGGATGACACTTCACAGGTTTGGGAACACGTCCAGCAGCAGCATATGGTATGAGCTGGCTTACCTGGAAGCGAAAGAGATGGTGAGGAGAGGGGACAGGGTGTGGCAGCTGTCGTTCGGCTCCGGTTTCAAGTGCAACAGCCTGGTGTGGAAGGCAATAAGGCGCGTGAAGAAACCTTCCAGGAATCCCTGGCTTGATTGCGTTGTCAGATATCCTTTCCAAGCTTAGAAACTGCGAAATGAAGGGGGAAGCTGATGAGGGAAATGATGCAAGTGACTATTGCATTAAAGCATATTCTTGAGAAGGACACAAATGGGTTTGGATTCGTTTTCTTTTTAAACTAAACTTGTTATGAGCAACTAGAGCTTGCTGCTCTTTTATTCTTGTTTTTGTTTTTCTGCCCTGGATTTGGACCTAAAACAAGCAAACCCAGCAGTGGAGGGTATTTACCAGAAGGGGGAACCTGCCTTTTGTGAGTATCTAAGAAATTCCAATTCTGCTGTTGCATCGTGGAGAAACTGTAATGTTAAGGTGCCACTGCCTGGAGGAAAATACTGTTAGTAGGAGTGTCATTGTGGGTTTCGTACTGTGGTAAGGCTGGATGGTTGGTTGGGGTAAGGGAACCGTTGAGTGATCAACCTAGCTTCGGATTAAGTCGTGTTAGTGTTAAGCCTTATAAAATAAAAACTTAAGTTTCACAGTACCGTTCTGTTGCTTTAAGTTCCATCTGTGCGTTGAGTTCCTCAGTATTTCTCAAAATCAGTTGTCAAGTTACATGGTAATACATCGTTTGTAATTCATAAAAAAAAAAAACATCGTTTGCACACAACCCGGAGGCTTAAATAGGAGGTTATTTTGAAATAGGATTAATGCCACATTTGGTCATTGTGATTACTAAATGGTGTCATGTTTTTTTTTTTTGTCATAGATAGATCGTAATAGATAGGGTATTACAATGCAGTGGAAACATAAACGCGTTAGTCAACCATATGGGTCGCTACCGATGCAAGGGCCGTTTGTGCCACGCGATGGGCAACCCTGTTAGTTCTACGAGGAGCAAAAACAAAAGAAATAAAAGCAAAAGAAGACTTCAGCTTCCGTACTTCCTCAAGCACTGCTCCTCCTCGGTCATGATTGACATCATTCTCCAATGCACGTCGGATGACCAATTGCGAATCACCACAAAAGCAAACAGCAGAATAACCACGATTAAGGCTCCATAACATTGCATCGCGCAAAACTAACAATTCCAACAAGAATGGGTCCCAAATGCCTTCATAGAACTTACCGTATGCGCAAACCAAGGAATGGCTGCTATCAAACCCAACGAAGCCTATGCTTCCGCCCACTCCGCGCCTCGTCGCACCGTCAAAACGGACGAGAAGACCCCCAGGGGGACACGACGGACCTGCTGCTGGTTCCCTGTTCTGCCGCCCTCTAGTGGGTTGTTCCCTCGGCGCAGCAGTCGCCTCTCGCCATTCCTCAAGCTGTCGATTGAATTGCCGAAATAGGGGACCTGGAAGATACTGAATTTTGTCATAAATTGACCAACATCGAGCCTTCCATATACGCCAGGTGAGGAACACTATTTCTGCAATGTCCATCTTCGAAAGCTGCATAGAGAAGAAAAGCTCATGCCACGCAAGGTCAACAGCCATAGCTAGCCGAATCTGCTCACGCCCAGCAAGATTCCAAAGAGCTCGCGCGATCCTGCATTCAAATAAACAGTGAGAAATGGTTTCTACACTCTCTGAGCAAATCAAGCAATCATCAGATTCACATAGATGCTTCCCTTTAAGAATAGCCTGCATTGGAAGGAAGCCTCTTACAACCCGCCAAAGGAAGAACTTGAGTTTCGGAGGGATTGGCAGGCTCCAAAGTGTCTTCCAGAACTTTGTATTAAGGTGTGAGGGGAGCTGATCATACTGAAGTTGTCGGCTGCCTGCTTGGAGTTGGTAGCCTGTTTTAACAGTATATTGCCCAGAATCCGAGTAATGCCAGATGAGCTTGTCAGGTTGGGGTGCTGATGGCAGTGGGATGGATAGGATCCATGAAACACTCTAAGGGGTAAAGGAAGCACGAATGAGGTCTCCATTCCACGTTCTAGTAATTGGGTGGATAAGGGCAGCCACAAAGGGATTGGGAAGAGAGATACCGGGCAGCAGGGATGGAGAAGAAGGAGGGGTCGAAGGCAACCAGAGGTCCTCGAGAATGTGAATCGCTGAACCGCAACCTACTTGCCATCTCAATCCCTGCTTAAGAAGATTCCTCCCTTCAAGGACTCCTTGCCAGGCCCAAGATGGGCGGGAGCCCGTAGATGCCGAGAGAAAGTCGCAATGCGGATGATAACGAGCCTTGTATAGTCTTGCAAGGAGGGATTCCGGACACATCAGTAGCTTCCAAGCCTGCTTCCCAACCATCGCTATGTTGAAAAGGTCGAAATCCCTAAATCCGAGGCCTCTGTGGAATTTGGTGACACAGATTGCCGGCCAGGAAATCCAGTGAATTCCCCTCTCCTTATCTTGCCCAGCCCACCAGAATCTAGCCAATTGGCTATTAAGTCTACGACAGGAAGACGAGGGGAGTCAGAAAGAGAACATGGTGTATACCGGCATTGCTGAGCCAATAGCCTTGAGTAACACTTCTTTTCCAGCTAGAGAGAGGGATTTAGATCGTCAGCTTTGTATACGGGCAGAAGGTTATCTTCAACAAATTGGAATGTCTGGACTTTAGAACGCTGAATTTGAGCCGGGAGCCCCAAATACTTGTCAAGAGGTCCAATGGAGGAAATACCAAGCATGTTCGCCAAAAGGATCTTCTCTTGATCACTAACATTAGAGCTGAAACAGACTGAAGATTTCTGACGCTGCCCACTAGCCTCCTCAAAGGGGCGCAACAACTGAAGCAGGTTATTACACTCAAAGGACGTTGCCCGCAAAAATAAGTAGGTATCGTCCGCGAAGAACAGATGGGAGATAGTTGGTGCAAGCTGGTGGACCTTCAAACCATGTAACTGTTGCAGCTCAAGCGCATTATGCAGCAGGGAAGAAAAAGCCTCTGTGTAAATGGCGAAAAGGAGAGGTGATAATGGATCGCCTTGTCGAATACCCCGTTGAGGTCTGAAATACCCATGCTCATTACCGTTGAGAAGAACAGTGAAAGTAACTGAAGTGACACACGACCTTATCCACTTCATCCACTGAGAACCGAACCCCAAGGCTTCCATTACTACAAAGAGAAATCCCCATTCGACCCGGTCATAAGCTTTCTCCATGTCCAGTTTAAGAGCCATCCACTTATCCCTTCCCGAATTCTTCGTCTTTAAGAATTGCATCACTTCCTGAGGAATAAGAATGTTATCAGAGATATCCCTCCCCTTGATAAAGCCATTCTGAGAGTCAGAAATCACGGCAGGGAGAATAACACCAAGCCTAGAAGTGAGAATCTTGGAAATTATCTTGTAGGAAACCTGGCACAGGCTGATCGGCCGCATTTGCTTCATCAACTCAGCATTAATGACCTTGGGGATTAGAGTGATAACCGTGTGGTTGAAGTTTTGCAGTAAACGGCCAGATCGGAAGAAGGACAGGGCTTCCTTGCAGACTGAATCTCCAATAATATCCCAATAAGTTTGGAAAAAATCACCGGTTAGCCCATCCGATCCCGGAGCTTGCCCGGGACCTATGCTAAAAGCAGCAGCTCGAATCTCTTCCCGAGTGATAGGGGCTGCCAGGAAAGAATTCTGAGCAGGATCAATCTTCGGTTGAAGTTCCAACGCATTGACCAAGAAGTTGGGTTGAATTCCATTAGACGTAAACTGGTGTTGAAAGAAGCCAATAGAGATGCTGCCTTTGGCATCCTCATCAACATGCCGAATCCCAGCCTCATCTTGCAATACTTCAATACGATTATGCCGCCGCCGTTGAGTAGTTGATAGGTGAAAGTGGTTCGTGTTGGCATCACCGAGTTGCAGCCAACTGTTTCTGGATTTCTGTTTCCAATACGCTTCCTCTTGCAGATACGCCGCCGCAAGCTGAGTTTCAAGGCCCTGAATCACCTCCCAATTCACTGCTGATGCATCCCTTTCAGTCTCTATAGCAAACCTTAACTCCCTGATTTGCCTGGTAGAATTGGTAGTACCCATCCTTGACCATTCTACCAGCCGGTGCCTGACTGCCTTAAACCGCGAGTACAGCTGGAACCGCGGAGTTCCCTGTACAGAAACCTGCCATCACCAAATACAATATCACGTGCATCAGCATTAGAACACCATCTGCGGTCAAAATGGAACCGCAACTTCCCTTTCCCTGCACCTGGAGTTAGTTGCAGCAAAATAATCTGATGATCTGAACCAAGGTCTGAGAGATGCGTAATCTGCATAAGAGGCCAAAGAGACATGAGATTATCAGTGACTAATGCTCTGTCTAGCCGCTCTAAAATGTGAGTTGCTAACCCCTGTCGATTAGACCATGTAAACGGATGGCCTTTATACCCCAAATCAAGCAAACCTGCACCATCGAGGAAGGAACGGAAGACTTCCATCACATGGAAGGGGATGAGAAGGTTACCAGCGCAAAGGCATTGATCGATGTGCATGGGGGTAAGTTGGTTCTCAGGGCAGGGGATGAGAAGGTTACCTTCTCAATAGATGAGAGCATGAAGTTTTCTTGCCTTCATGATGATATTGAATACTGTGATAATGTAGATGTTTCTCTTCTTATGGTAGACCCTTTTTGGCCAGCGCAAAGGCATTGATCGATGTGCATGGGGGTAAGTTGGTTCTCAGGGCAGGGGATGAGAAGGTTACCTTCTCAATAGATGAGAGCATGAAGTTTTCTTGCCTTCATGATGATATTGAATACTATGATGATGTGTCTGATTTCATTGTGGCACTCGCATCCGTAGGTGCCATTCTTACTGACCCCTTGGAGGAGTCTTTTTTAGTAGGTGCCGATGACTCGGAGCCTCCGGAAGAGGAGGGACAACCCTCACGAGCTGAGGAAGCCTGCGTTGTGACCCACAAAGCGGAGGTGGAAGCCTTACCCCCCATGGCCAAGATTCCTACCTCTTTGGAAGAGCCACCCGAGTTGGAGTTGAAGCCGTTGCCTCCCCACCTTGAATATGCCTTCCTGTAGGAAGACAACAAGCTCCCGGTCATCATCAATGCAAACCTCACACCCTAGCAGAAAACCCAATTGATCGAGGTCTTGCGTCATCATGAGAGAGCCATTGCATGGAAGATGAACAATATCCGATGAATTGGGCCCTCATTTTGTTCTCACAAGATCCTCACAGAGGAGGGCGCCAAGCTGGTCCGCCAACATCAATGGCATGTGAATCCTAACCTTGAGGAGGCGGTGAAGGCCGAGGTGATCAAGCTCATAGACTCTGGAATCATCTACCCCATTTTGGACAGTCAGTGGGTAAGCTCGACTCAGTTGGTTCCCAAGAAAGGAGGGATGATAGTGGTGACAAATGAGAAGGAGGAGCTCATACCAACAAGGATGGTGACCGGGTGGCGGGTGTGCATTGACTATCATCGTTTAAACGATGCCACTCGTAATATCATTTCTCGTTGTCTTTCATTGATCAAATCCTTGAGAGGCTCGCGGGTCACGATTATTACTGCTTCCTGGATGGCATGTTAGGGTACTTCCAGATACCTATCCCCTGGGAAGATCAAGCTAAGACGACAATCA